CAAAAGACCACATTTCACAATTGATTCCGCAATCTAGGATTCACGCCATACGGCTACCCACAACATATCCCACCATAGTACATAACTATTCATTCCGAGAAGGATCGAACACAGTCGAGCCAAACAATCAACATCGGATGGAATCACAAAGAAAATGAAATGTTGTCACGCTCGCTGGCTTGCTCGCCTAGCGAGTCCCTAGCGATTACTCGCTATCTGTTCGCCTAGCGAACAAGCTCGCGAAGGCAAACAGAAGCTACTGACTTCATTCACTTCTTACTCGCTGCAGCGAGGCCCTAGCGAATCCTTCGCTACCTCACTCGCTCCCAGCGAACCAGACCAATTCCATTCTGCCCAAGTCTGGGACCACTCGCTAACTTGCTCGCCTAGCGAGTTGCTAGCGAACACTCGCGACCTGTTCGCCTAGCGAAGGTGCTAGCGAACGTCTGCGAACTCAAAAACCCTCACTGTCATCAATCCTCAACTCTTCACAAAATCAACTGATTCTCACCAAACCAGTTCCTATAGTCTTAGTCTAACAATCCTCGACTAAACTACACACTTTATTCTCGATTCGAACCGTTAAAACCTTGATTCTACCGATTAAACTCATTTATGCCCTAGAATGGAAAATGGAGAAAACATCCAAACAATCCATGCAATACATACATAACCATAAACATTGATAGAATAACAATATTTCACACCCTTATCTTGATTAAATCGGAAGCTATGAGTTGTTCTTGATGATTCCAAGCTTTCCTTCTTCTCCTTCACTTTTCTCCTCTTCCTCTTTCTTTCTCTCCTCTTTCTCTTATGTTTATATCTTTTCCTTTTCTTTCCACTTTTCCTTATATGCCTTTCCATTCTATTTCCTTCCATACATTCTCCTCTCAAATATCTACCAATAATTCCAATAATTAAAATCATCCAAATAAATTAATTATTTAATACGAATAATTAATTATTGGAAAATTGGGTTGTTACAAAGGTCGCATCTTCAGATGAAGGAGAGGTTGCCCGCCCATCCCTAATGTCATTGTCATGGTCGTTGACGGGCACACCATGATCGTCACCGTTGGTGAGCGGGTCGAAGGCGGAGTCGTGGACAGCATCATCGTGGTGTGAGTTGGCCATGATCACAGAAGTTGATGAAAGCTTTGGTTCTATTGCTCGGAAGAATGGGGAAGCTTTAGCTTCCCACAGACGGCGCCACTGATCTCACCTGATCAGAAAGAGTCACTGGTCGACCACACGTCTGAGCTGTCTGACTGCTGGGGAGAATGGAGGGGTGTACCTGAAACACACTCTGATGTCAAAGTAAGAGTCGGGCAGAGTGATAACAAGTACAAAAACAGAAGTAAGAATGAGATTAACTGACCCTCTAGTGAAAGAGGGTATTTATAGTGTGCCCCCAGCGCAGGGCCAACGGTTACTTCGCGTTGGGTTAGGTTGCCAGGCCCAATGCTGGTAACTGCTAGGGCTGACGTGGCGTCCGGAATATTAGCACGTGGTCTTCGCCCTAGTGCAACTTCTCTGTGCTATCTGGAAGGTGGAGGACCGAATAATCACGGCATGGGTAGTTACTTGATGACATGTCTCCGCGTTGAGAACGTGAGGGAGGTCAGAAGAGCCCTCTGAGATGGATAGGGTCTGCCTGACAGTTGGGCAGAAGGGAGAGTGTGCCTGGAAGATGTGAGGTGCCTGCTCGACTGCCAAGAGGTTCGTGCCCGGCGGGAGAAAGGGTTCTGCCTGACGGGATAAAGGGCTCTGCTCAACGGGGAGGCGGTTTAGATCTTATTGGGCCTTCTAACCAAATGTGGGGTTGGGCCTGCTCGACTGTGGGCCAAGTGTCGGCCCAGTCCAAAATAGTGTTACTTCCTAAAATCTAAATATGAAGCATTTAACATTTTCAAACAATTCAAATCTATGGTTGAACTTCAACATAGTCATCTTATTAAAGTTGTTCAGTCTGATTAGGGATGGGAGTTTAGACCATTCACCAAATTCTTATATGAGCTAGCTATTTCCATAGATTCATTTGTCCTCACATTCACCAAGAAAATGGTGTGTTTGAAAGAAAGCATAGACATATTGTAGATCTTGGCCTTACCTTACTCGCTCAAGCAATCTTACCTCTCACCTATTGGGATTATGCTTTTTTCATTGTTGCTTATCTCATCAATAGATTGACATCAGCTTCTCTTAATTTTAAGGTTCCCTTTATAGTGTTATTTAACACTGAACCTGACTATCATTTTTTAAAGGGGTTTGGGTGTGCTTGTTTCCCTCTTCATATACCATATCATGCTCATAGACTTGAGTTTAAATCCTAGGAGTGCCTATTTCTTAGGTATTTTACCTCTCATAAAGGCTATAAATGTCTTTCTTCTAATGGTAGATTGTACATCTCTAAAGATGTCTTATTCAATGAAATTAGGTTTTCATACCTTTATCTATTTCATAAATCAAGTCCTAGTACTTCCTCATCTCATGGTGTCACTATATCACCTCTCCTTCTCATGCCCTCGTCTGTCATTTTTCTCACTCCTATGTTTCCATCTGCACAGTCTCCTGCTACTTCCTCTGCCATTGAGCACCCTGCAGTCCACACTTATCCTTCTAGATCTGAGGCATCTTCTAGTTCTTCGCCTGAAACTCCTTTTGTTGAGTCTCAGTCCTTTCAATCCTCTTCTTCTAGCACTTCTTAGTAAGAACACTCTTAAGCCTCTCTTGTTTCTATTCATACTGAAGTCATTCCTCTGACTAATGTCTCTGTCAATTCTCATCATATGCAAATAAGGGTCAAATCAAGCCTCATTCAACCAAGACTTGAGCCTAGACTACTTGCCAATTTTGAACCCAAAAATGTTAAGCAAGTTCTTAGTGACTTACAGTGGATGCCTTCAATGCAGGCAGAGTTTGACGCTCTCATCAGTAACAAAACATGGTCTCTTATTCCTCTCCCATCTCATAGACAAGCTATATGATCCAAATGAGTGTTTAGTGTGAAGGAAAATCCTTATGGGACTATAAACAGGTATAAGGCTAGCTTTTTTCCAAATGTTTTCATCAAAGGCAAGGGTTTGATTTTCAAGAAACCTTTCCACCTATTGTCAAGCCTATTACTATAAGGGTTATTCTGGTTATAGTTATCATTCGTCATTGGACTATTTAGCAAATTGATATTAATAATGCATTTCTCAATGGGTTGCTTAATAAGGAAGTATACATGGAACAACCCCCAAGGGTTTGTCAGTTTTGATCTCTCACTTGTGTGCAAGCACCACAAGGCCCTCTATGGCCTTAAGCAGGCTCCAAGGCAATGGTTTGGAAGGTTGTAGGCTTCCCTAATTCAACTTCATTTTAAGGCTAGTGAATGTGATCCCTCTCTCTTCACTTACTCCTCTAATGAGCATACTCTTTACCTTCTTGTGTATGTAGATGACATAATATTTACCGGCAGCTCCAATTCCTTGGTTCAGGACATCATTACCAAACTGAGCCTTGTATTTTCCCTCAAACACTTGGGAGATCTTGACTACTTCTTGGGCATTGAGGTGAATAAATGTCAAAATGGTGCTTTGTTACTCACTCAGACCAAATATAGCAGGGACCTACTCCACAAGACTAATATGCATGAGTCCAGTCCAGTGGTCACTCTTATGCAATCCACCTGAAGACTCACTAAAACTGGCTCAGCAACTCTCTATGATCCCTTTCTTTATAGGTCAGTTGTAGGCGCATTACAATATGCAATCATAACTAGGCCTGACATTGCCTATGCAATAAATAAGGTTTGTCAGTACATGGTTTTCCCTCTTGAGGGATACTGGGTCGCAGTCAAAATGATACTTAGATAGCTCAAAGGCACACTTGGACATGGCCTTCATCTCTCTCCTCACTTTCCTCAAGTGACTCTTTCATTACAAGTGTTTTGTGATGCTAATTGGGCATCTAATTCTGATGATAGGAGAAGTACTCAGGTGCAGCTATCTTTTTAAGAGACAATCTCATTTTTTAGTGGTCAAAGAAACAGTGATGATTATATCTAGTCCAGAGCCAGAGTATAGAATCTTAGCACAAGCCAATGTAGATCTCCTTTGGATACAAACCTTACTCAAGAAGAGTATAAAATCTTAGCACAAGCCAATATAGATCTCCTTTGGATGCAAACCTTACTCAAGAAATAATGTGTCAACTAAGCTATCAATCATCTTATGTGATAATCAGTCTGAAGTACTTCTTGCCCACAGTCCCGTTATCCACACACGAACAAAACACATGGAAATTGATCCGTTTTTTGTTCAAGAGAAAGTGCATCAATCAACAAATGTCAGTATTTGTCTAATAGGTTACCTGGTTGCAACTATAAATGCATCAATTGTAATATTAAGATCAATTAAAAAAGGACACAAAAGTTAGTTACAAACTAAGTTATAAATAGTGTAAGCATAGCTTTCTAACAAGTTTTACACCCTTTTCGTGTGATGATCCTTTCTTATTATTGTCCTCTTCTACTTTACTAAAATTTACCACTCAATTAAATTAAACTATACTTCCACCAAACATTAATGAATCATGATAGTATTAGCACTTAAGCAAATCATCTTGATCCCAACACGTTTTCCATTATCAAATACACATTGTTCATGACCAAAGAGAATAAAGAATAAAATAGAAGACATGCACAATTGATAATTGAAAAAACAAACTATATGCATCATTGGCAATTGTATCCAACACATACATTTTCAAGCTGTGTTCTTATACAAATATTAAACCGAAAATATTCAAAAGGTTTTGGCATCAAGGCTGCATTCCCTTGATTTTATGAGACAGCCGATAAAAATTCATTTCCAATCATGGAACATAATTTAGTGATCAAAATCAAGATATCCTTGACTCGTATGGCAGAATGATCCTGCAACTTTCAAAAACTTGGGAAATAATTTAGCCTCCCAAAAAAATACTAGAACTAGCTGTTGGATTAATGCAGTTTAATCTTCGAGCTCGATAATCTTAACTACGGATGCATCACCAAGTTTCTGACAAACAACAACTCGGTCGTGTGACTTTATGACTCCCAATGCTTTTCCGTGATCAAGGGCAACCTTAAGAATAGATTCATTTGATGCACTTGTTGACTCAGCCTGCAAATACAAAGTATATGGCATCAATATCGGGTAAATCTACATTCATTGTGTTATGTGTTGCATGTAAAGTAGCGTTCATTTATATGGTCATCTAGAATAACAATTATGCGCTAAGTATTATAAGAGAGAGCCACGAGAGCGCGATAATGTTTATTAACGAAAGAAAGAAATAAAACAGAAAAACTTACAGGATGTCGAGGATCAGCAAGCATAGGAAAGAGACCTCTTACAATAAGTGACTGCCTTGCCTGTGTCACAAATTGAATATTTTCATTAGTTTGATAAATTAAAAAAAGCGGTACGATGTAAACCACAAAAAACACACTGGTCAATATATTTTCTAATCATCAGATCCAAAGTTAAGATCTAACCTCAAAAGCTCCACTAAAGCTCCACTTAAGCTGATTTGTCTTAAGTCGGGGGATCACCACAGAGAGAACCGGCATTGTTGGCCTATATTTTGCAATCAACCTGATAGGAGCACATAACATATTTAGATCAAAAATCTGAAGTATATAAATCGTGATGCGGGACAAGAAAGAATAGTACCAATATTAATTGAAGAAAGTGTTTGTTCATTACAGAATTTACAGTTAAGCTCAAGATGAGAACGACTTTTTCAAAATAAACGAAATATAAACATATTCATATCTTATTACATAAAGATTTAGTACCTTGCAGCCCTTCCAGATGAAGTGAAGCAAATTATAATAGAAGCCTTCACCTTAATAGCAGCACGAACCTAACAAGTAAGGATTTAAAAGTAAGAAGCCTGATTTCAAAGTTATAGAGTCTATTTAAATTTACTTATTTGAGCTATCATTGGCATAAGCCCTTTTGAGATCGTTTGAGAGAGCTCATGAAAACAGCTTGAGACTTATTTGATTAATTTTAACATAAAGGAGGTGGATTGACAAACTCCCTAAAAATAAAGGCGCGCATATGAAAAATACTAAAGAAATAAAGAAATGTTCAGATGAAACTACCGCAGAGGATGCAATTGATTCCAAGTGGGTCATGGGTTCTCCAACATGTTTGACCGTCCTTTTAAAATAAACATCTTGGTTGAAAACTTTCTCGGCCTACAAGGAGATGAAATGTATGGAAAAAATATTAGTCAACAAGATTCATTTATGCAACAGAGACCATAGTCGGGCATAAAAATTAAAGCACACGATCAGAAACCAAAAAACCTGATTCAAGATATCGATACAATCCAAGCATGTTCAACTAAATTAATGGACCATCTAATGAACATACCTCTGAACAAATTCTGCCAACGGTAGAAATAGTCTCCACGGGGTACAATCCACGTAAAGTCTCAGCACCCAAAAGAATTGCATCACTTCCTGTTTATATATTAACAGTTAACAAACATATTAATCAGGTACTTCTAACATGAAACACAGTAGACAATCACTGACATATAAATGAAATTGCACATAGCCTGTTTTAATCGCTGAGAATAGGATGAATGTGAATCGTATAACCATCAACTTACCATCTAAAACAGCATTGGCAACGTCAGTGGCTTCAGCACGAGTTGGTCGTAAGTTGTCAGTCATACTGTCCACAACACGTGTAAGCACAGCAGGCTTCCCAGCCATATTACACTTTTGTAGAGCAGATTTTTGAAATAGAAAAACCTAAGAAAGCAAATCAAAGTTGATAAATATTTTTACTTGTTAAACCAAAATAAACGTATTTATTGTAAGAGAATGCAAGCCAAAAAGTAAATCAAACTACAAAATGAGTTTCATCAACAATACTGACCTTCTCTGGTGGAAGATCAATACCCAAATTCCCACGGGAAAGGATAATACCATCAGCTTCTTGCAAAATCTCATCAAAATGGGTCAATCCCTAATAAACAAAACAGATATAAAATGTATTTATATACAATTGGCTAAGCCTAGCCAATAAGAAAATAATCTAAACCGAAGAACGAAGATATGTAATTCACCTCAACATTTTCAATTTTTGCAAAGATTTGAGTCTGGCTAAGATCGCCCAACTTGGAAAGGAACTCACGAGCCTGCATTAAAACAACATATGAAGGCCTACTAATAGGAATTGAGTAATGAGATGATTAAGTAAACAATTTGTAGTTCAAATTACCTCGCGAACATCTTGAGCATGTCGAGTATATGACAATGACAGAAAATCGATTTTGTTTTTAGCTCCCCATGTGCTTATAACCTGAAAGAAAAAGTTAATTAATTAAATAGATATAATAATCCCACAACTTTAAGATGACCAACTTTTCTAGGCACGGTGAACACGTGTAGTGAAATGTTAATAACTCAAACATCTGAGTGAAAAACACAACTTACCTCCTTGTCTTTCTCAGTAAGAGTAGGTAAATCAATATGAATTTGAGAGGCGTGCAAAGTGAACAATGACCCTGTCAATGTAGCTGAGTTCTTAATGATACATACAACATCATTGCCTTTGACTTCGGATACCTGCACAAGCACGACATCATGTAGAACTCATCAGTCATCATGCACACAAAAATTGCAATTCAGATTGGACAAAATTTTGCATTCTGGGTTCAACTTATTTTACCTCTAGCCATACAGAAGTAGTTTCACTTCCTGTGAACAAGTATTGACCGATGAAAATAGTGTCTCCCGTCTTCACTGCCTGTAAACAATTAACAATTTGAAAATCATGCAAGCAAAAAATTACAATGCAAAGCAGAAGGAATCCAAAGATATATCTCAAAGTCATGAAAAACAAATTTCACGCGGGATTCAAACTACCATTCACATAAACTGCTTCTAACATCATAAGCGAGAATTCAATTGCATAAATAGATTGAATTTATGCTACTTTGAGCCATGCAACCCCGAGAGGAAAGAGCAATAACTCGAAACAAGTATGACTCCATATGCAACAGTGTGAAATACTAATCAAACAAAATCAACCACGGTAACACGTTCAGTGGAAGCAATGTAAACGCAAGAAAGTCCCATCATATAACTACAACGTGGAAAATATCAACCTACCTGAGCTAGTCCATCAAAGTTGATTGGCAAAATCTCTGAAGAAGCTTCTTGTCCCTGGTTTGGAGTTAGAACAACCTGACCATCTATCTCAAGTGTGATAGTTGTCTCACTTTTGTTAACAACCTGCATCTCCGCACCCACCGTGTCCAGCATAACCTGTCCAACACAATTCAAGTCACAAACTTTCAGCACCTTTACCATCATTTACCCTTAATAACAAACCTACCTGAAGCAGAAAAGTAAAAATACAGAAACGGAAGCAAACTCACAGCACAGAGCTTCTTAGTACTCTTAATAGCAATCTTCAAATTCTCCAAAGTTTCCTGGTGATACTCTGGATCACACCATGAAAAGTCAAAACGAGCCACTGTATACAACAACAACAAAAAACCACATGAAATCTATAACCCTTCATCAAATCTTCAGTTAAAAATCCATAGCACAATTAAAGAAAGGGTAAAACAAAAAACACACCAGACATCCCAGCTTTAAGACAGCCAGAAATAGTCTCAACAGATCGAGATTTAGGACCCAATGTACCAACAATCTTTGTCATCGCAGAAAAAAAGCTCTACAATAATCATAAACAATAATTACAAAATCAAAAACAAAACGAAAAAAAAACAAGATCTATAGATTGGAAATGAAAACAACAAGAACAAGAGTAAGAGAAACTAACGGCTTTTGATGGCTCTAGGATGGAAGCCATCCTAATTGGTTCCTCGAGAAGCAAGTGACTGGAAGGCATGTTTGGTTTGTTAATCGACGAAAATGGCTTCTACAGAATCGATTAACAAAAGATGGATGATTGAACAGTAGTAGCGTGCAACTCGCAAACGCTGAAAAATATTTGCGTTTTTCCGCTGTTTCTTTATATATAGTTTTTTTTTTGTTTTCAACTTTCGTGAGCGGTTTCAGAGTGATGATACAGTCTGAGGTAAGATGGTATTTTCTTCTGGTTTGGTTGTTTTTGTGTAGAAGGTGTTTACGTGGCGAGATACTGGCCGTTGGATAAGAACGACCACGTTTTGTGGTTTGTGTTTTTGTTTGTGATGGATGCTTGTAACAGAAAAGTAGTAGTACTTCGGTGACTATGGTCTTTTAGGTTGTTTTTGTTTTTTTTATATTTTGGGGAAAAAATTGGGTGTGATTGTTTTGTTTCGTGGAGAGAGGGAAGGTGTTGTGCACGCGCTATGTGGTAGCGTGAAGAGAATGGTGGCGCACGTGGTTTTTTTTGGAAGAATTGGAAAGGCACGTGATTAGGGTGGGTTAGGTGGGTTTAAAAAATGAGGCGAGGAAAGCATGTGGCGCATGGGGGTGGGATGGTGTGCTGAGCGAGAGAGGATGACCGTGGAGTGGAGAGATGACTACGCGGTACTGGAAGGGAAGCTTTTGGTTTCTTAACTAACCTTATACCTATTTTGAGGAAATTGTTTTTCATACCTTTTTTTCTCTATAAATAAGTATAAAATAAGATAATTTTAAAGGTTCTTTCGGAAATTCACTTTCTTCACTTTTTTTTTATAATTTTTTTTTCTAAAAGCAAATTATATTATAGTGAGTACAAAGGGTACTCTCCCTATACAATCAAAGAAATTAACAAAAATATTTTCTACCAACACCAACTAAAACAAACTCACATATCATACAAAAATCGTAAAAATTAGTGTTGGAATAAACAATATCTTCAATGCACGTCCATCTATTATCAACTTTTCAAAAAAAAAGATTGCATGCTTTGATTAATTAACTCTTTCAAGTTTTTCAAATTACATTACAATTCGGACAAATGGGTAATTAACAAATATCTCAAATAAATCTAACTCAAACCTCTAACTTCACGCCAAGTATACATTAACGATTGGCATACTCAAACTTTCTTTCTTTATCTCAAGCCCTAATTTATTCTTCACAATCTTATATTCTCTCTCCATCTCTCTTTCTTTCTCACGTGAGACTCAAACCCAGAGTCTCACCACCGCCACCACCAATATTCATCCACCCAATTTCATTCTCTATATCACAAACCCTTCTACTTTCAGTCTCTCACTCTCACCACTATGACCTTCTTAACATCACAATCTCTCAATATATGTAAGTTAATAGGGTTAATTTTTTAGTTTTGTTATAGGGATAATTTTCTGAGTTGTGTAATTTAATAACTTTTATAATATATGCAAATTTTTTGTTTATTTTATTATTTGTTTACATGAACTCGAATTTGACGTGCATTTTTCAGATCTACAAGGTTACATTTTGAAATCTGCCGTACATGTTTCTGTCTATCTCTTACTCTGCAACTCATTTCATCAAAGTTTCCAAGGTTAGATCTGTTTTCCTCATCAAACATCATGTTTTGAACTACAAGTTTGTTCTTTTCTGTATTAATTTTCTATACATATTGTTATGGTTTCTTTATATACTGTTAAATCATTCATATAACATAATTTTCTTATAGTTTATTCAAGTTCTACTCAATATATTAGCTTTATTATTTTGTTATACATCAAAATAGTATTTTATGTTCATAAATTATCTGTTATAATTTAATCTGATGGGGTTAATGATGACTGAGTTGTTTCTTTCTGCAGATTTGAAGATAATGAAGTTCAGAGATACTTGAAGCTTGAGGAATTCAAAGTAAAGAATGGTAAGACCAAGGTGTTCAGTCCTGAGGAAGTCAGTGTTATGATTATGTCTAAGATGAAGGAAACCGCCAAAATATGCCTTAGCAAGACAATTTGCTATTGTTATTGTCCCGGGTAAATAGCCAAATAACAACTTCTGATTAATTTTTTGTTTGATCTTACTTCTCTATTGCTTTTATGCAAAATATTATGCCCCATGCTTAATGATCTTAGATTTGTATAGTTTTTAGATAATTGTGTCTAAGACTTGAGAATCTATTTAGTTTTTCCCAGTTTCTGTTTTATTTGGACAATGAGGGTTATTTGACTTACATAACCCTTCCATCCATCCGATCACTCATTGACCTATTATGAAATAAGAAAGTTTGTGTTTGAACTGTTTTCAGGTTATCGCAAACAGAGCATCAGAGATTCTGGGCCATAAGCGCGGTGAGAAGTTTGTGCACCCAAATGACCATGTTAATAGATCTCAATCTTCTAATGATACATTTCCAATGGTAAGTCTTTTGTATATCTTTATCAATTTCTTCTACAGAAATTTCTTATTAATTGTTCTATGTGTTGTGCAATTCTTTGCAACTGTTTGATAGCTCTAACAAGTCTCCCGATCCAACACTCATTGTCTTAACACATGCGTGGTGCAAGGAAAATCAAGGTGACAAAGTTATTGTAATACACATCTTAGTTTATTATATTGTATTCAGTTAAACAAAGTATTTGGTTACTACTTTTGTAATGCACAAATGTCATTATTTATCATATTGCATTGCTTTGTAGCTTAGACATGTTTGATTTTATTTTGATGTGTAGTCTTCATACATTAAAACAGAACTGTGCAGGCATGTAGCAGAATAGAAGTTTTGTTAGTAGTATATCATGTAGCAACATGTCCATTTGATTATAGATGCTCCTGTAGCTGCATAAGTTAAACTGATGTTGTGTAATCATATGTTGTTAGCACTTATTTTTTTCACATTCAGTAGCAAAAGGAATGTAGCATTCATCTTACCACTTACCATTTTATGTCTTATGATTTTAGCACTAACTTTTTCACATTCAGTACTAGAATATGTAGCATCATTAAAGTTGTATGATGATTGTTAGTTATGCTTTCCATTATATAAGATGCATGTTATGTGGTTCAATTAAATAACTGAAAGTTTGAAATTTGCCAAGCAGCATCAAGATTGCCTAGCCTCTCAAATGCATGGAATGGATTGAGACTTCACATAAACCTTAAGCATCCCCAAGTTCACGATTTTAATACCAAGTATATGAGTATACTTGATAATTAGGAATTTATCTATACTTTAGTAGAACTCGGTTTAATTTAATTTGATTTATTACCTTTGTGCCTACAAATTTTTTTCAGGCTAGGATCCACACTTTCAACTGCTGCACCAACTCACTCCATAACCCAGACTTTAGAATCCTTTGTGCAGCCTGGATATTAAATTGTTTAAGCAGAGTTGTGAATTTGTTTGCCCTAATGATGATTTTCTAGAGCAGGTGTGTATTATGAAGGTTACTTTGTATGCTGTAAATGTTGGTTGTACTACTTTACAGTAAGGATTATAACATTCGTTATGTGTTTTTATTGGCTTACTTGAACAATGGTTTTTGATATGTTGCGTGAAAATGACAAACTGGTTGTTGTAAAATACGATTTTGATGCATTCACTTTTCATTTTTTTTCTCTCAAATCAAAACTGTCAACTATGGTTTTCGAAAGTTACGTGACCCTGCAATATATGTCTTAACTGATTGACCTTGCTAACTATTAATGTTCTTTTCGTTTACAACATGTTTCTAACTTTTTCCGTGTTCATTACAACATATTACAGAGGTTTGTATTTGTCATATTATTTTCATTTTATTTGATCAACCATAAGTCAATGGTTTGTATATGTGCCACATTTTCTGTTCTTGGAGTGAACTCTGATCCTACTCGAATTGATGAGGTTTATATACATGCAATCTTTCTTTTAATATTGATGTATTGGCTTCAAAATTTAGACATTTCATTTGAATTAATAAATTCATATTTGATTTGTAATAGGTGGAAAAATTCAGTGGTGAGTTTCATGTTGTCAGAAGCACGTGTCATCTTTGTCCTGCAACTGTTGAAAGCTTGGAATTTTGTTTCGAAACCTTGCCGTTGACCACGTTTCTCCATTTGTATCTCATAAGATGCAATGATGATCCATATGAATACCTCATTAGTTCCATATGAAAATGATTATTTCTGTTGGGATTACAACTATGATATTAAAGAATAATTTTCATCTAATGTACCATATATCAGGTGGAAGAACACAGAAAACACTTGGTTACACAAATATGGACGACACAAACACATACTTGACACCTAAAAAAGCAAGAGGACATAGATCTTTGATAATAAAAAAATCTCGATCTAAACGTCAAAGACGCTCTACTCAACAACAAGACATGGTTTTAGACCGGCGACACATGTAACACCCCGTTTCCCAAAATAAAATAAAATGATTAAAATAAACACATATCAGAGTTTTCCCACAACGGGATGTCACAATTTCCAACAAAATTCCACAAATCATTTTTCAAAATATTATTCAGCAAAATTGCAGCGGAAAAAGATGTAGTAGTCTGTCATATATCACATAACATATATACACCATCCATATCATCAACATCGTCATATACAACAACGACCATCTACCCAAAATATACATCATGTCATCACATATCCCCCAAAAATCAGATACGCCACGGGGGCACACATAAACAACAATAAATAAATAAACTCCCAAAAAGCCCCGGTGTTACGTATCAGAGCAATCCTACGACGACACCACAATCCAAGCTAGCTAGACACCTGGATTGTCTGTACTTCCGAAGAAGCACAGACCACAACAACAACAGAGGGGTGAGAATTCACGATCAAATATTAGCGGTATAAATGTACATGAAATAAAAGGCAGAAAACAATAATTCATTTCATATACATCATATTCGGACCTACTGTCCCATCATCAGTCACAACACACATATAACTCATGCAACATATGCAACACGACTCAACAAATATGCGGTACCGATTCAACTCAGGATAGATTGC